CTCTCTCTCTCTCTCTCTCTCTCTCTCTCTCTCTCTCTCTCTCTCTCTCTCTCTCTCTCTCTCTCTCTCTCTCTGTGTGACACACACACACACACCCTGACTCCACGTCTGTCCCCCAATGTGCTGCTCGATGTTTCTCTAATGTACAAACTACATTTCTTTATGCCATCCTCCGAACAATATGACTTTCCTGGATGCACCTAGGTTTTGCTTTAACTGAAGCTATTGCTTTTTTTTTTTTTTTTTTCCAAATGCAGGCTGCCTTCTCCTCATATGGGGGGACAACTGCATTTACTGTGCTATGTTCCTCTCTGAACATTTTCCATCTCCCACTACCTACCTCGGGCTGTGTACTCGAACTGCTATACCCACCTTCCAGACCTGCAAGGGGCCCGGCAACCCAACCAGCAAGGAACCCAGCGCCATTTTTCGAAGGCCAACTACAGGGTTTAAGGTCGAATTCTGTAATCCACCTACTTTATGGACTCAGAATCAGAGCTTAAATTCACGAGACAGGCCTAAGCTATACTAAGGTTACGGGTCTGCGCCTGCCTATCTGTGCACAGTGCGGTGAGCAGTACCCAAGCTCCTAACACCTGGCGCGAGCTGGAAAGAACCAATTACTTCCACAACCAGCCAGGAGGCCCAAGCCAACAGTCTCCGCTGGTGAACCCCAACCTGGGGGGTGCGGATCTGAAGCCATTGCTTTATTCACCTTGATGGTGGTTTTTCTTAATTTTATGGGCGACAGCAGAGTTCATCCTGAAAGTCCTTGTGCGAGTACCTACCATAGTTGGAGTTGTGGAGGCTCCCCGTGCTCCACTCGTTCTGCGTTGCTGGAAGATGACTTTTTATTGGCACGGGGGGGGGGTGGTCCCTGCCAGTATGCTGCTTACCTGATGAGGGGAATAAGGGATTGTAAGTGCGTCTCCTTCTTTTTCATTAAAAAATCATCTCCGTATTTAATATTTATATTTGATTATTTTTAATTACGATTATGAATTTAGYATAGTATTTACTATTTAGTATTTATCTGCTTGACGGAAGAGGATATGAAGGACTCCGCTCAGCAGTCAGCACTGCTGACCCACATCGTTTCTGTTTTTTCTTTTTTCAGCTGACCCTTGCCTATTTATGTCAACTTTCGTATGAAGTTATTATAATACATGGAGACCTGCCTGTTGAAGTCGAGCCAGAAAGGAAGAGAAGGTGAAGAAGGGGGGGCGGGAGGAGAAAAGGGACAAGAAAAAGGGGAAATGGAGGGTAGTTTCGCTAATGTGTCAGGAGGCTGAACAGTATGTAAAACACATGCAAACRTTGGAAAGGATATCTGATTGTAATTTTCACAGACACATATGTCTTTGGCTGTCATGCTTTGCTTTCCAGATTCAGGGGGGAGATCCTACAGGTACTGGGAAAGGAGGTGAATCAATTTGGAAAAAGGTAAGAATTGGAGGTCATTGACTCATAATGCTTACTTTCCAGATTCAGGGAGGGGAGGGGAAAGGAAGGGAGGGGAAAGGAGGGGAGGGGA